CATAACAGAGTTCTGTGCATAACCTACAGGCCTGTTCATAACATACAGGTTTACACACAACATACAGTTCTTTACGCAACGTATGAGTCGGTATATTTATTGCTGTCTAAATTGTGAATAATACAAATGTTTGCACCATTTTCAAAGATGCATTACATTAACTTGCAGGCTGGCCAGAATAGTACCGAAGTTGTACAAACTGCCCAAGCAGTTTGTACAAATCAGATCAAACAAAAATTATCCTCTTTGAATAAAAAAAAGATTAAGAACCCACATGCATAAATGAGGCACCTTATGAACTAACGTGATCAAATCTTAAGAACTGATTAAATGGGATACAGTAAGTAGTATGTACTAAAAAATTTTTAGGCTAAGTGAAGTACAGCAGTATATACATCTTGTATTATACTTTACTAGCAACAAAACAAAATAAACAACTTTATATCTTTATGCAGTATACAAAATGTAGTTTACATGTAATAAAATACTATTGTTAAGCACAAAAGAAGGCCTGTGGCAACAACTGTTATTGCATTATCTGAGAAAAAGATGTCTTTCAGATGCAGATTACAACAGATACGTGCTGTATGATGGGTATTTACCAGAATTGGAAGACTTGCAACTACAGCCACTATTACGGGTGAGGCGAAGTGATGCAGAAGCAAAAAATGAGGACTCCAAGTTGAAGGTTAGTTCATTTTGTTTCTAACTGGTTGGCTTCATATGCATGAATATCATTTCAGAAATTAATGTATTCTTGTCGTTTTGAACACAAAGAAGTGGCACTTTTGTGTTTATGAAACTGCTTTTGGAAAAGTTCATGTTAGCACTGGTAATTAATCTACAACACTTGGAATTATAAGGTAGTCGTTTTATGTACTTTAGAAGTTTTGCAAGGGGATAACTGTTCCAGACAGCAAAGTTTTAGCAATTTTGTAAGTATCATGCTGATTATTTTTTCATTATTTCGCTACCATAACCAGTATTCTACTCTAATGTTCTGTAAATATTTGTAGTGTAAACTTTCACAACAGCATTCCATCATGTGGTCCTGTATTTAGATGGGAAAAAAATTTGAAACAACTGTATGTATGGAAAGGCTGCTTCATTTCAGAAAAGCATCCAAACAGCCTTAAGTTGTAGTTCAAACACAGTCTTGATTATACATTACTATATATAAATACTCATTTTACTGAATTCCTTGAACACTTCAGTATTTGTGAAACACTAGCCTGGGACATTCTATGTTTGTTACACTTAGGTTTCTATCTTTAAGAAGGTTGAATTATATATAAGAGCCTAAGCAGACATGCTTGTGCTCAAACCCCAAGTTATACACTTAGACTTGAAACTAACACTGCCCTTAACCCTTTGAGGGCCGCCAGGCCCTCTCAGAGACTTGTTCTCAGGGTCGTCAAAATTTAAAAAAAAAAATTGTTTTTCTTATGAAAAGATAGAGAATCTTTTCCCGATCATAATGACACCAAAAGTATGAAATTTGATGGAAAACTTATGGAATTATGCTCTCGCGAAGTTAGCGGTCTCGACAATGTTTATGCATCGGCGATTTTGCCCACTTTGAGCCCTATTTTTGGCCAATTCCAGTGTACTAGTCAACAAAAATCATAACTATTTCACTAGAACTCCATTTTTTCTATCGAATGAGTACAAGAAACCACCCATTTACCGATATCAACTATCCAATAAAGTGGTCAGAATTTAGCAATTTTTGCCAATTTTACACAAATTTCAAAAGATGCCAATTTCCAAATAAACAAGAAAGACATTCCTGGCACTAAAATAACATTTCCTCTGTTCATTAGTCACTTCCCCAGGCCCCTCTTACGTTTCTTTTGCTTTCCACTTTGATTTTTTATTCTCACAAAAAAAAATAAGATTTACTGTTATGCAGACTACTGCATTAGTGTAGAAATGGTATAAATAATATCGGCGCACTTGTGAAAGAATATTAGACTCACCAGTTGACGTGTATTGGACTCTTAGCATGATTTGTTTACTATTGAACTTTGGTAAAAATCGAACATTTCTGCTACTTTGAGCTCAATTTCAAGGTACTTTTCATCGTAAAACCAGTCAAAATCATCTCAATTTCTATAATATGTCTTCCATTCTATACAATGAGAACAGGAAAACTAGAATACAACAATAAATACCATACGAAAATACAGTGCAAAGTTGCTGTTTTAAACCAAAAACACAGTTTTTTTTTTCTCATTATTCACTTTGTGCTGCAGGATTTTTTTTATACTGCGCACACTGGCCACATAGACCCATTCTTTCATGTGTAGGCCTACCAGCTTTCTCTTGCTAGATTTAAGGGCGCTAGAATTTATGCGTACTAGTACATCAAACACCCTGGCGCGTAAGCCATACTATTATGGCTGAAACCCCGAAAGGGTTAATATGTGGCATTTAAGTCATTATATTAAGGGTATACAATGCCAAAAAGTAGAAAAGTAAGATGTGCAAAAGTTGGGTATCTTTATTGTCAAGATGTTTTGGCTGTTTAGAAAGCTTCTTGAGTTGAATATAGAGACTTAAATAATGGAGATAATGGGAGTGGTGGAGAGGCATATATATGAGGCGATTAGTCCCTCAGTTTTAAAGAAGTAATTTTGAAGTAGTCAGTTCCTCAGTTCATTGGCCTCGATCAATATGATGAAGCCATCAACACCAAACAATAATTGTTTTATTTTGAAAGTTCTCATTATGCATCTTGCTGTGGTACTTCAGCAACACTGTATGTGAAGTATGTCTGGTAAGACTTAAACAAGCTACATAGTATATGTAGTTTTGTGTAATTACATCTTTATGGATTTTTACAGATAACACAAGCAATACATACATATAAGTTACATTATTATTATATTTTTTTTTATTATCACACTGGCCTATTCCCACCAAGGCAGGGTGGCCCGAAAAAGAAAAACTTTCACCATCATTCACTCCATCACTGTCTTGCCAGAAGGGTGCTTTACACTACAGTTTTTAAACTGCAACATTAACACCCCTCCTTCAGAGTGCAGGCACTGTACTTCCCATCTCCAGGACTCAAGTCCGGCCTGCCGGTTTCCCTGAACCCCTTCATAAATATTACTTTGCTCACACTCCAACAGCACGTCAAGTATTAAAAACCATTTGTCTCCATTCACTCCTATCAAACACGCTCATGCATGCCTGCTGGAAGTCCAAGCCCCTCGCACACAAAACCTCCTTTACCCCCTCTCTCCAACCTTTCCTAGGCCGACCCCTACCCCGCCTTCCTTCCACTACAGACTGATACACTCTTGAAGTCATTCTGTTTCGCTCCATTCTCTCTACATGTCCGAACCACCTCAACAACCCTTCCTCAGCCCTCTGGACAACAGTTTTGGTAATCCCGCACCTCCTCCTAACTTCCAAACTACGAATTCTCTGCATTATATTCACACCACACATTGCCCTCAGACATGACATCTCCACTGCCTCCAGCCTTCTCCTCGCTGCAACATTCATCACCCATGCTTCACACCCATATAAGAGTGTTGGTAAAACTATACTCTCATACATTCCCCTCTTTGCCTCCAAGGACAAAGTTCTTTGTCTCCACAGACTCCTAAGTTACATATACTTAGAAATTTTGTAAAAATTGCACTAGATTACAATAAGGGTAACATTGAAGTAATGCAAACCACAGTGTCTACCAATGTACATCAGTACTGATGATATATTAAGTCTTGTCAGTGCAGTACTGTATGGTGTTTGGATGAATGATTTGAATAATCATGCCCTAATCTAGGATCAAAGAGCTACATTTCATAATTGCTATTACAGCCCCTCACTTAGATATCAAATCTGTTAGATGACCCATTTGTATTATCATTGTTCAGAAACGTTAGGAATATGGTTCCAGGATCCAAACACGTCCCTCCTTTTCCCTAGAAATACGAGTTCCATATTCGGAAGTTTCCTATTTGTGAGCTCAAGTGTATCCCACGCAGGTGCTGATGGTGCACAGTATTACATCTTATAAATTTATTGTAAATTTTACATAAATTCTGCACTTGTGTTTATTACCTTTTAACAATTTGTTGAATGTTCTAGAAATCCTAAAATTATTTTTTGTATTTCCTCCTGATACATAAAGGAACTGTTATACTTAGTGCAGTATTTTGTGTTTTATATCTTGTTTATTGAAAAAGTTTAATGTACTGTATCACATTACCCAATACTCTAAGGTCAGTGTGAAAGTAAGAGTTGGCTTCCTTTTGTAATACATTGTGTATTTTTTGTTAGTATTGATTTGGGAAAATACCATACCTCTGTGCAGTATTGCATTAAGATTTTATTTTAGTTTAATATTATACAAAAAATTGCAGGGTATGAAGCCAGCTGACACTTTAAAAAATGATAAAGCTAACAAATTTCCTGATAAAACTGATGCGAAGAAGAAACCTGTAACACTGAAGAAGACTACATCGTCTACAAAAGCCCCTGAAAGTTTTACTACTGTAGCCCCAGTAAAGATCCCCAGTGATTATGTTTCTGTGAATGCCTCTACCATGGGTTCACTTCCCGTTACTACTCCAGCCTCTGATGCAACCACCAACAGTACCACTACCACTACCACCACTGCTACTACCATAGTCACCAGTATCCCCGAGTCCAATAATGAGAGCAGAGTTAATTTGGAGGATAATAGAACAAGAGGGTTGACGGTGGGTGTTGCATTTTATAGGTTACAATGGTGGAGGTGCTGGGTTGAAAAGCATGAAATTTATGTTAAGAAATGTTTCTAGTAGTGAGGGTGATGGTCTTTGTTTTAATATGAGTTCTGTGAATGTTTTTCATGTATAATATTGTGCTAAGTTTGTGCCACTTGATGACCTAGATGTTGATTTTATGGTAAAAGGATGCATGTAAGTTGCACATACTGCATTCACTCTGTTGTGTTAACCAATAATTTTTAGGTTTAGTACTTATTTAGGATATGCAGAGTGCATGTTTTTTATTAATCATGCACAGTGCTAAGTAAATGTTTTATATATTCAGTTGCATTCATCTGTTTTGATTGTTTAATACTTTACCTACCAGATTGATTGGATGTTAGGTGCCCATATTGCCAACCATATTTTAGGTAGTGTGTTTTATTTTATTATCATGAACCATTTCCACATTTAAATGAGAGGTTGTCGAGAAAGGAAACACCAACACAGTTTGTGAAGATGAAGAGAAAGAAGCATGAAGCTAAAACTATAAAGAACATTAGTTGGTTCATAAGATGAAATTAGGAAAGAAAACAGACAGTACACAGTTCAGTGAGGATTACTTTGAAAGCAGAGGATTTCCTAGGGCACTGTTTTGGTTGAAAGTGTATGAATGTATGAATATGTATATAAATTATGAAATTGCTGAATATCGGAACTGGAACGAGAACAGTAATTGAGGAAATACTAGGGACGCTGAACATAGATACTTCTGAGTGGTGTGGAATAAGATATTACAGTGTTGATGGTGAAATATTGTAAGGCATTGGTGTATAAGAATGTGACTTGTCATCTCTAAAGCAAAGGATGTGCAAGCACATGAGTGTAAATGCAGGCTAGTGTGGTGATAAAAATAACATCACAATTAGTAGACATGCTTTATTAAGGGATAAAGGGTATGATTAACTCTCGGAAAGAGTGGGAATTGAACACATGCCTTTCCAGTCCTAAAACTAGCTAGCCTGCTAGTTTCAAGACTGATTCACCATGGATTTGATTCTCATCATTCCATAAGATTTTTACAATCGAATCATGTTTTCATAAGGCGAGGATTGTGATTTATACTTTAAAATTCATTCTTACAAAAATGTATTGGTTTAATTACTAAAGAAAAATTTCTGGAGGGCTGTATATATACCATATTTTTTACTTACAATTAATTGTTTTGCCAAACAAATTGATTTTTGTTGTAGCTATAAAATTGAGTCTTCTGATCACAAATTTATTTAATTTCTCATTAAAAAATACAAATGAAAACTTGCTTTTTAGTCATATTTCAGAATTTAATGATGTTGGTAACACTGTTGACTGAGTGGATATTTTAGACATAATTTACCTATAAATAATTGTTATAATTCTTAGGAAAATATCAGTTTGAGCTCTTCAGCATTAGTTTGCATGCAATTTAACTAGGTTAAATTAAGTTGCTTCTTTAGTTTTGATGGCAGTTAAAAAATACTCATTCTCTAGGATCTTGCACATGAGTAAATAGAATTATCAAAGCTTATTGTTTAGATAGCATTGAAAATTGGGTTGGGCAAATATTCTGTTAGTGGGATGGATTGTGATGGACCTGCCTAGTATGGGCCAACAGGCCTGGGCAACTCTGGCTTAAAAGTATCATGCAAGTGTATAAATTATTTTTTTTTCAACAAGTCGGCCATCTCCCACCTAGGCAGGGTGACCCAAAAAGAAAGAAAATCCCCAAAACAAAAATACTTTCATCATTCAACACTCACCTCACTCATACTTAATCACTGTTTTTGCAGAGGTGCCCAGATACAACAGTTTAGAAGCATATGTAAAGATACAGTATAAAAAGTGACCTGAAATAATATAATAAACTCTATATAGAATATAATATCAGGGCCCCAATTATATATATACCATCCTATTACACATCCCTCCAAACTGCCAGTATTCCAAACCCCTCCTTTAAAGTGCTGGCATTGTACTTCCCATTTCCAGAACTCAAGTCCGGCTATATAAAAATAACGGTTTCCCTGAATCCCTTCACTAAATATTACCCTGCTCGCACTCCAACAGCTCGTCAGGTTCCAAATACCATTCATCTCCATTCACTCTTATCTAACATGATCATGCACGCTTGCTGGAAGTCCATGCCTCTCACTCACAAAACCTCCTTTACCCCCTCCCTCCAACCTTTTCGAGGACGACCCCTACCCCTCCTTCCTTCCCCTACAGATTTATACGCTCTCCATGTCATTCTACTTTGATCCATTCTCTCTAAATGACCAAACCACCTCAACAACCCATCTTCAGCCCTCTGACTAATACATTTATTAACTCCACACCTTCTCTTAATTTCCACACTTCGAATTCTCTGCATAATATTTACACCACACATTGCCTTTAGACAGGACATCTCCACTACTTCCAACTGCCTCTTAACTGCAGCATTTACAACCCAAGCTTCACACCCATATAAGAGTGTTGGTACCACTATGCTTTCGTACATTCCCTTCTTTGCCTCCTTTGATAACTTTTTTTTTTTTTGTTTCCACATATACCTCAATGCACCATTCACCTTTTTTACCTCATCAATTCTATGGTTAGCCTCATCCTTCATAAACCCATCCACTGACACATCAACTCCCAAATATCTGAAAACATTCACTTCTTCCATACTCGTCTCCAATGTGATATTCAGTTTTTCTTTATCTAAATCATTTGATACCCTCATCACCTTACTCTTATCTATGTTCACTTTCAACCTTCTACCTTTACACACCCTCACAAATTCGTCCACTAACCTTTGCAACTTTTATTTAGAATCACCCATAAGCACAGTATCATCAGCAAAAAGTAACTGTGTCAACTCCCATTTTGTATTTGATTCCCCATAATTTAATCCCACCCCTCCCCAACACCCTAGCATTTACTTCTTTTACAACCCCATGTATAAGTACATGTATACTAAACAACCATGGTGACATTACACATCCCTGTCTAGGATCTACTTTTACTGGGAAGTAATCTCCCTCTCTACACACCATAACCTGAACATCACTAACCTCATAAAAACTCTTTACAGCATTTAGTAACTTAGTACCTATTCTGTATACTTGCAACATCTGCCACATTGCTCCCCTATCCACTCTATCATATGCCTTTTCTAAATCCATAAATGCAATGAAAACTTCTCTACCTTTAAGTAAATACTGTTCACATATATGCTTCAATGTAAACACTTGATCTACACATCCCCTATGCACTCTAAAGCCTCCTTGCTTATCCACAATCCTACTCTCTGTCTTATGTCTAATTCTTTCAATAATAACCCTACTGTGCACTTTTCCTGGTATACTCGGTAAACTTATTTCCCTATAATTTTTACAGTCTCTTTTGTCCCCCTTCCCTTTATATAAAGGAACTATGCATGCTCTCTTCCAATCCCTAGGTACCTTCCCCTCTTCCATACATTTATTAAACAAAAATACCAACCTCCAACACTATATCCCCCCCTGCTTTTAACATTTCTGTCATGATCTCATCAGTTCCTCTTTCATTCACCTCCCCCACACTCACATCCTGCTGTTGTTCACTCCTAGAAGATGTTATACCTCCCTGGCCAGTGCTTGGAATGATCACCTCTCTTTCTTCGTTGACATTTAAAAGTTCCTCAAAATATTTTCGCCATCTACCCAATACCTCCAGCTCCCCATCTACTAACTCCTGTACTCTGCTTTTAACTGACAAATCCATTCGTTCCCTAGGCTTTCTTAACTTGTTTAACTCACTCCAAAATTTTTTCTTATTTTCATTAAAATTTCTTGACAGTGCCTCTCCCACTCTATCATCTGCTCTCCTTTTGCACTCTCTCACCACTCTCTTCACCTTTCTTTTACTCTCCATATACTCTGCTCTTCTTATAACACTTCTGCTTTGCAAAAACCTCTCATAAGCTACCTTTTTCTCTTATCACACCCTTTACTTCATCATTCCATGTATCATTCCTCTTTCCTCCTGCACCCACCCTCCTGTAACCACAAACTTCTGCCCCACATTCTAATACTGCATTTTTAAAACTATTCCACCCCTCTTCAACCCCCTCATTATTCATACTTGCACTTGCCCACCTTTCTGCCAATAGTTGCTTATATCTCACCCTAACTTCCTTCCCCCTTAGTTTATACACTTTCACCTCTCTCTTACTTGTTGTTTACATTTTCTTTTAATCCCATCTGCCTCTTACTCTAACTGTGGCTACAACTAAATAATGATCCGATATATCACATGCCCCTCTATAAACATGTACATCCTGAAGCCTACCCATCAACCTTTTATTCACAAATACATAATCTATCAAACTACTCTCATTACGTGCTATATCATACCTTGTATACTTATTTATCCTCTTTTTCATAAAATATGTGTTGCTTATTACCAAACCTCTTTCTACACATAGCTCAATTAAAGGCTCCCCATTTCATTTACCTCTGGCTCCCCAAATTTACCTACTACTCCCTCCACAATATTTTTATCCACTTTAGCATTGAAATCCCCAAAATAAAATAAAAGAAAATGAAATGCAATAAAATAAAAGATATAAAAAGGGTGACGAGAATATCTTACCAAGACAATATGCCAAACAATATGAGCAAAATCCAGGACTGTATATGTTAAATCCACTCACAATAAATAAAATGTAAGAGTTTTAACCTGATGTGTGTTACGGGCAATATCCATGTTAGGCCCGAGTGTGGTGCAATCTACCTGATGTTTGTCACATCAAATCTGTGTAAGAGGTGCATCCTTCATGTACGTATGATTCCTATTGCTTAATTTCTTTCACTTCCTTGAAAATTATTTTTTTTTTATTATCACACTGGCCGATTCCCACCAAGGCAGGGTGGCCCGAAAAAGAAAAACTTTCACCATCATTCACTCCATCACTGTCTTGCCAGAAGGGTGCTTTACACTACAGTTTTTAAACTGCAACATTAAACACCCCTCCTTCAGAGTGCAGGCACTGTACTTCCCATCTCCAGGACTCAAGTCCGGCCTGCCGGTTTCCCTGAATCCCTTCATAAATGTTACTTTGCTCACACTCCAACAGCACGTCAAGTATTAAAAACCATTTGTCTCCATTCACTCCTATCAAACACGCTCACGCATGCCTGCTGGAAGTCCAAGCCCCTTGCACACACAACCTCCTTTACCCCCTCCCTCCAACCTTTCCTAGGCCGACCCCTACCCCGCCTTCCTTCCACTACAGACTGATACACTCTTGAAGTCATTCTGTTTCGCTCCATTCTCTCTACATGTCCGAACCACCTCAACAACCCTTCCTCAGCCCTCTGGACAACAGTTTTGGTAATCCCGCACCTCCTCCTAACTTCCAAACTACGAATTCTCTGCATTATATTCACACCACACATTGCCCTCAGACATGACATCTCCACTGCCTCCAGCCTTCTCCTCGCTGCAACATTCATCACCCACGCTTCACACCCATATAAGAGCGTTGGTAAAACTATACTCTCATACATTCCCCTCTTTGCCTCCAAGGACAAAGTCTTTGTCTCCACAGACTCCTAAAGTGCACCACTCACTCTTTTTCCCTCATCAGTTCTATGATTCACCTCATCTTTCATAGACCCATCCGCTGACACGTCCACTCCCAAATATCTGAATACGTTCACCTCCTCCATACTCTCTCCCTCCAATCTGATATCCAATCTTTCATCACCTAATCTTTTTGTTATCCTCATAACCTTACTCTTTCCTGTATTCACCTTTAATTTTCTTCTTTTGCACACCCCTACCAAATTCATCCACCAATCTCTGCAACTTCTCTTCAGAATCTCCCAAGAGCACAGTGTCATCAGCAAAGAGCAGCTGTGACAACTCCCACTTTGTGTGTGATTCTTTATCTTTTAACTCCACGGCTCTTGCCAAGACCCTCGCATTTACTTCTCTTACAACCCCATCTATAAATATATTAAACAACCACGGTGACATCACACATCCTTGTCTAAGGCCTACTTTTACTGGGAAAAAATTTCCCTCTTTCCTACATACTCTAACTTGAGCCTCACTATCCTCGTAAAAACTCTTCACTGCTTTCAGTAACCTACCTCCTACACCATACACTTGCAACATCTGCCACATTGCCCCCCTATCCACCCTGTCATACGCCTTTTCCAAATCCATAAATGCCACAAAGACCTCTTTAGCCTTATCTAAATACTGTTCACTTATATGTTTCACTGTAAACACCTGATCCACACACCCCCTACCTTTCTAAAGCCTCCTTGTTCATCTGCTATCCTATTCTCCGTCTTACTCTTAATTCTTTCAATTATAACTCTACCATACACTTTACCAGGTATACTAAACAGACTTATCCCCCTATAATTTTTGCACTCTCTTTTATCCCCTTTGCCTTTATACAAAGGAACTATGCATGCTCTCTGCCAATCCCTAGGTACCTTACCCTCTTCCATACATTTATTAAATAATTGCACCAACCACTCCAAAACTATATCCCCACCTGCTTTTAACATTTCTATCTTTATCCCATCAATCCTGGCTGCCTTACCCCCTTTCATTTTACCTACTGCCTCACGAACTTCCCCTACACTCACAACTGGCTCTTCCTCACTCCTACAAGATGTTATTCCTCCTTGTCCTATACACGAAATCACAGCTTCCCTATCTTCATCAACATTTAACAATTCCTCAAAATATTCCCTCCATCTTCCCAATACCTCTAACTCTCCATTTAATAACTCTCCTCTCCTATTTTTAACTGACAAATCCATTTGTTCTCTAGGCTTTCTTAACTTGTTAATCTCACTCCAAAACTTTTTCTTATTTTCAACAAAATTTGTTGATAACATCTCACCCACTCTCTCATTTGCTCTCTTTTTACATTGCTTCACCACTCTCTTAACCTCTCTTTTTCTTCCATATACTCTTCCCTCCTTGCATCACTTCTACTTTGTAAAAACTTCTCATATGCTAACTTTTTCTCCCTTACTACTCTCTTTACATCATCATTCCACCAATCGCTCCTCTTCCCTCCTGCACCCACTTTCCTGTAACCACAAACTTCTGTTGAACTCTCTAACACTACATTTTTAAACCTACCCCATACCTCTTCGACCCCATTGCCTATGCTCTCATTAGCCCATCTATCCTCCAATAGCTGTTTATATCTTACCCTAACTGCCTCCTCTTTTAGTTTATAAACATTCACCTCTCTCTTCCCTTATGCTTCTATTCTCCTTGTATCCCATCTACCTTTTACTCTCAGTGTAGCTACAACTAGAAAGTGATCTGATATATCTGTGGCCCCTCTGTAAACATGTACATCCTGAAGTCTACTCAATAGTCTTTTATCTACCAATACATAATCCAACAAACTACTGTCATTTCGCTCTACATCATATCTTGTATACTTATTTATCCTCTTTTTCTAAAAATATGTATTACCTATAACTAAACCCCTTTCTATACAAAGTTCAATCAAAGGGCTCCCATTATCATTTACACCTGGCACCCCAAACTTACCGACCACACCCTCTCTAAAAGTTTCTCCTACTTTAGCATTCAGGTCCCCTACCACAATTACTCTCTCACTTGGTTCAAAGGCTCCTATACATTCACTTAACATCTCCCAAAATCTCTCTCTCTCCTCTGCATTCCTCTCTTCTCCAGGTGCATACACGCTTATTATGACCCACTTCTCGCATCCAACCTTTTTTTTTAATCCACATAATTCTTGAATTTACACATTCATATTCTCTTTTCTCCTTCCATAACTGATCATTTAACATTACTGCTACCCCTTCCTTTGCTCTAACTCTCTCAGATACTCCAGATTTAATCCCATTTATTTCCCCCCACTGAAACTCTCCTACCCCCTTCAGCTTTGTTTCGCTTAGGGCCAGGACATGCAATTTCTTTTCATTCATAACATCAGCAATCATCTGTTTCTTGTCATCCGCACTACATCCACGCACATTTAAGCATCCCAGTTTTATAAAGTTTTTCTTCTTCTCTTTTTTAGTAAATTACAAAATCACTTAAATTTATTTTCCCCTTTATGGTGATTATGTTTTGTATTATGGTAGATATTTCATGATTTTTGTAAAGGAACTTTTTGTGGAGTGAGTGGATTAAAGTAGTTTTTGAGATTTAACATGATGTTGTAGTGTGATTAAGGTAACATTTTTGAAGGGACTTAAAGAAATCTGTTAACCAGATTTTAATTTTGGTCGTAGGGAAGTACTGTACAGTATCTCTACTCTTCAGAATGTGTGTGGGATGTTGTGATTCAAAGAGTCATTTGAATTGTGATTTTCATGTACCTCTGTTTAGACTGCTGTTGAATAATTGATGCTGACTATGTGCACTTTTTTGGGGTCCCCTTAATGGGGAAAGGTATATAGATTATGTAATGTACCAGATACTGAATGTACATTCTTTACAGGTCTCCGAGAATGTTACGAATGAGGAGGAAGGTGATTCTTCTATCCCAGTAACAACCATCAACAATGTGACAGGGAGTGAAAATCCTGCTATGCATAACATTGACACTACAGTACAAGTCAGTGTAGATGACCCTGACTCTGGGGATGACACTCTTTCTGTCACTGGGTATGATACTAGAAACACATCGGTTGATCACCACAGGTAAGACAAATTAATGTCAACATACAGTGGTTTAGGCTGGGGGAAAAATATATACAATGCACTATATATATTTTTAACATACTGGCTGTCTCCCACTGAGGTAGGGTGACCCCCAACAAATAAAAAAGGAAATGCATTCCCCGACCTTCATCCAGTTGCTCTTACAAAAGTGGAAAGACATTGTGGTTCACGTGAGCCTTTGAACAGACAGCAGTATCCTCACCCCTCCTTTAGGGTTCATGCACTGATCTTCCCTCCCAGGACTCAAGTCTGGCTAACCAATTTAACTGCATACTTTCATAAATGTTACCTTACTGGCTCACAGTCCAACAGTACTTCAAGTCACAAAAACCTCTTGCCTCTGCTCCTATTAAACATGCTTGCACACACCTGTTGTTGTCCAAGCCCCTTGCTTACAAAACTTCCTTTACCCCTTCCATCCAACCTGAAGTATTATTTAGAGCTGAGAAGGTTATTGAGTGGTTTGGAAATTTCGAGAGGATTGAACAAAATAGGGTGAATTGGAGAGTATATAAATCAGCAGTGGAGGGAAGGCAGGGTAAGGGTCAACACAGGAAAGGTTGGGAGGGGGGTAAAAAAAAAAAAGGTTTTGTATGCAAGGGGGCTTGGACATCCACCAGGCATGTGTGTGCATGTTAGATAGGAGCAAGTAGAGGCAAGTGGTTTTTATGACTTGACATGTTATTTGAGTATAAGCAAGGTAACATTTCTAATGGACTTCTGGAAAATAAATGGTTAGTTGGACTTGAGTCCTGGAGGTGGGAAGTGCAGTGCCTGCACTCTGAATGGGGGGGGGGGAGATATTGCAGTTTGGAGGGGCATATGAGCTGCAATGTCAGTCAAGACAGTGATAGTGATTGGTGGTGAAAGTGTTTCTTCTTTTTCAGGCCACCCTTTCTCGGTGGGAGGTGACTGATGTGTTGAAAAAAAAGACATGGTGAGACCCATTTGCATAGTTATAGTTTCTTGGTTATTGCTAGCTTAGTTAAGTTAGATATGATAGCCAGGTTATGACATTTGGGCAGCATTGTTCATTTACTTCTTGACTCGATTACCTAAAGTACATGCAGGTTTTGTAGTGTCCTTATAATGTATGCAAAATCCAAGTTTTCTTCAGTTAATTGAATTGCATAGTTTTCACAGTTCTCACCATGTCCATTAAGATATCCGTCATATCTGTTATAACTTGGTCAGTAAACTTTTTGCTTTTCCATGTCATTTAATTTTAAACATTGGTAATGAAAGGGTGGCAGGAATTTCTTGCATAAGGCACAAAGGAATAGGACCTGTTAGGAGGAAGAACCAGAGGCAAGTTATAAAGAAGTGAGTGAAGCAATGAATAAGTTGAAAGGGGTAAAAGCAACATGCATATATTGTACATTGTTACCTTAACATTTCAGATACTACCGTTCATACACCTACTCAGGTGTACAAGAAGCTCAGCAGTATTGGGTTGATCTGGACTCCCTCAATGAAGAAAAAGTAATAACAAACGAGATGCTGTCAGCTTCTCATCGTAGAGCTGCAGTAAGTGTTGTTATTTCTGTGAGCTAATACAGTACACATTTGATTTTAGTTTCCATGGACTAATGCTAGTGAGGATGACACTGTTGCAGGGAAACCTTTATTACAGCATTTCTTCTGGGACTGGACTTTATCAGTTGATAAATTCCAGTCCAGACAAACATTGTAATGAAGGTTTCCCTACAACTTAGTGTCTTTCTCATCATCTATTGGCTTATGCTGCCATTTGATGACTAATGCTGGGTCATCTCATATGGCTCCTTGACTATTGTGCCTCTCAGCCTAACAATAACAAGCAAAAAACCAACCCTCTAATGGTGTTATTGACAGCTATACTACACATCCTATAGTTCAGTCAGTTTTATTTTCCACCTGCACTCTCAGAGGTAGGCATCTACATGCTTGAGCACAGAGTGATGATCACAGCAGTGACTCGTGGTATTGTCAAAACACTGGAGTCAGTTTTTACACAGTGAAGAGTGATGAGGATTTTATCTTTTGTATGAGTTTTAATTCATAAGTGTAATGAAATGAATTGATAATATTGGAATCTACTTTGTTTAGGTTTCAGTAACCTGACTGTTGGCATGCAGTAATGTCATTTGGTGGATTAATAAATGGAATCATTTTCATCACCAGACTGTGATGTTGACCTTCGAGTTTCCATTTTATGGACATCTTCTAAAAAACATCACGATAGCTACTGGAGGGTTTCTCTTCACTGGTGAATTTGTTCACACCTGGCTGGCAGCTACCCAGTACATTGCACCCCTTATGGCCAATTTTGATACTTCAATGTCATCTGATGCTGCTGTTAAATATGCCGATAATGGTAAGCTCTTCTGTCAAAATTATAGTTTTGGAAGAACTTTCGTGTTTAGTACGTTATTTGTTATTTTTTCTTAGATTGCACATTGGTATAGTAAAGAATTGTTAATCTTGCAGAATGGAACAGTTATACTGTACAAATGTTCAAATAAGACAGAAATTTTATTTTTTGTTTTTATGCTGGTTGAGCATTTTATAAATCCTTTTTTCATTTTAATATAACAAAAAGTGTTTTGCTATGTTTGACATACTACTGTCATTTACAGTTTTGCTCTAAGCATATGTCATATTTAGCTATTCCAAAGTTATATATATCTGGTATACACAGTTTTGTATCCTCCATTTCACAGTGTATCCCATAAGCTAAACATGGTAATGAACCCATGAAGCACAGTAAACCTTTCATTTAACAATGTTTTGCTTCACTGGGGCTTTGTTAAATACCAAGTGCTTCTTGACAGTCCTACTGAGGACAAAACATTATTAAATAAAAGACTTAGTCTGTGTCTTTGACCAGTTATCATTAGAATACAAAAATAATTGGGAAAGTAAGATATCAGTTAAGATTTTATTAAACAAAATTACTTTCAAAGACAAATACAGTAGGGCCCCACTTATATGGCAAGTTAGGTTCAGGCTACTGCCAGAAAGCAGACATCGCCGGAAAGTGAACGCCATTTTTTCCACTTATAAATGCATATAAATGCCAGACACCAAGTTCACAGTAACGTACATTAAGTTATTAATAGAACTAGGCATTAAAAACACAATAAAAAGTAAAATACATACTCAGTACGTTCATTACTTATCTTAAAATATTTATAGTCTTAATGTAGGGCGAGAGGTGAGTAGTACTTATTTGTAGAAAGTCAGGTGTAGGTAGCTCTGGCTCCCCATCCAAAACTATATTTTTTATTTTTTTTCAACAATTTGGCCATCTCCCATTGAGGCAGGGTGACCCAAAAAGAAAGAAAATCCCCCAAAAGAAAATACTTTCATCATTCAACACTTTCACCTCACTCACACATAATCACTGTCTTTGCAGAGGCACCAAGATACAACAGTTTAGAAGCATATATAACATACCCCTCCAAACTGCCAATATCCCAAACCCCTCTTTTGAAGTGCAGGCATTGTACTTCCCATTTCCAGTACTCAAGACCAGCTATATAAAAATAACGGGTTTCCCTGAATCCCTTCATTAAATATTACCCTGCTCAAATTCCAACAGCTCATCAGGTCCCAAAAACCATTCGTCTCCATTCACTCCTATCTAACATGCTCACACATGCTTGCTGGAAGTCCAAGCCCCTCGCCCACAAAAACTCCTTTATTCTCTCCCTCCAACCTTTTTGAGGATGACCCCCTACCCTGCCTTCCTTCCCCTACAGATTTATATGCTCTCCAAGTCATTCTACTTTGATCCATTCTCTCTAAATGACCAAACCACCTCAACAACCCCTCTTCAGCCCTCTGACTAATACTTTTAGTAACTCCACACCTCCTCCTAATTTCCACACTCCGAATTCTCTGCATAATATTTACACCACACACAGCCCTTAGACAGGACATCTTCACTGCCTCCTCGCTGCAGCATTTGCAACCCAAGCTTGGTACCACTATACTTTCATACATTCCCTTCTTTGCCTCCATGGATAATGTTTTTTGTCTCCACAGATACTTCAACTTAATATAAAATATTTAAAGCAGCCCAGAGAGATAAAATACACATACAGCACACTCATTATTTACCTTAAAATATGTGTAGTCTTAATGTAGGAAGAAAGGTGAGTAGTATTTATTTGTAGGAAGTCAGATGTAGGTAGCTAGTAGATGTAGGTATGTAGTCTACCTGGGCTACATACCTGCACCTACCTACATAGCTACATGTTATTTAATGCAGCCCATAGCATATTATTACCATTGACATACCGTATTTACTGAGTTTAATAATTTCTAACAACTACCTTTAGATGCCATCATAAACAAAGGAGAAGTAATCAATAATTCATGCCAAGAATTGTAAATAAAAGTGTTATGTGTTAAGGGGAGTGACTGGGCTAATGCAGATTCATACGCATTTTCTCTGGTGCTGGAGCAGAGGAAACGTAATGTTTTCCCTCCGCCCAGCTGCCACACCTCCATAGCATATAAACATGTTTCGTATATAATTTTGAAGAAAATATCATAGGTGGATTAATGAAAATGTCTATATTAATATAAAATAAGACATTTAATGTGCTCAAGAGTGATTATTATTACATATTAGGGGTCATCCTCGAAAAGGTTGGAGGGAGGGGGTAAAGGAGGTTTTGTGGGCGAGGGGCTTGGACTTCCAGCAAGCATGTGTGAGCTCGTTAGATAGGAGTGAATGGAGACGAATGGTATTTGGGACCTGATGAGCTGTTGGAGTGTGAGCAGGGTAATACTTAGTGATACTGTGCTTATGGGAGATTCTAAAGAAAAATTGCAAAGGTTAGTGGATGAATTTGGGAGTGTGTGTAAAGGTAGAAAGTTGAAAGTGAACATACAAAAAGAGTAAGGTGATGAGAGTATCAAATGATTTAGATAAAGAAAAATTGGATATTAAATTGGGGAGGAGGAGTATGGAAGATGTGAATGTTTTCAGATATTTGGGAGTTGACGTGTCAGCGGATGGATTTATGAAGGATGAGGTTAATCATAGAATTGATGAAGGAAAAATGGTGAGTGGTGCATTGAGGTATATGTGGAGGAAAAAATGTTATCTATGGAGGCAAAGAAGGGAATGTATGAAAGTATAGTAGTGCCAACACTCTTATATGGGTGTGAAACTTGGGTTGTAAATGCTGCAGCGAGGAGGCGGTTGGAGGCAGTGGAGATGTCCTGTCTAAGGGCAATGTGTGGTGTAAATGTTATGCAGAAAATTCAGAGTGTTGAAATTAGGAGAAGGTGTGGAGTTAATAAAAGCATTAGTCAGAGGGCTGAAGAGGGTTTGTTGAGGTAGTTTGGTCATTTAGAGAGAATGGATCAAAGTAGAATGACGTGGAGAGCGTATAAATCTGTAGGGGAAGGAAGGCGGGGTAGGGGTCATCCTCGAAAAGGTTGGAGGGAGGGGGTAAAGGAGGTGTTGTGGGCGAGGGGTTGGACTTCCAGCAAGAATGTGTGAGCGTGTTAGATGACGAGCTGTTGGAGTGAGAGCAGGGTAATATTTAGTGAAGGGATTCAGGGAAACCGGTTATTTTATATAACCGGACTTGAGTCCTGGAAATGGGAAGTACATTGCCTGCACTCTAAAGGAGGGGTTTGGGATATTGACACTTTGGATGGATATATTGTGTATTTTTATACGTATATACTTCTAAGCTATTGTATTCTGGGCACCTCTGCAAAAACAGTGATTATGTGTGAGTGAGGTGAAAGTGTTGAATGATGATGAAAGTATTTTCTTTTTGGGGATTTTCTTTCTTTTTGGGTCACCCTGCCTCAGTGGGAGACGGCCGACTTGTTGAAAAAAAAAATTAGTATTATTCTGGCGTTAAGACTAGAGGGACACTCTTAGTGATTTAAATGTGTACGTGCACACCAGCACAGTGTGTAAGTATATTTAGGTGCAGGTTCACACAAGTATAATTATCAGAGTACATATAAAATATGCAATAACTGTAAAACACTTGAAATTTTGGAAAGTTGCTAGAAATAATAGAGAGAGGTGCTCATGGAGAATGTAAACAAACTGGGTGGGGTGCACCATATTAGAAAGATCACTCGTTGTATAGAGAGTTTTGGTCAAAATTTGAAATTGCTGTATTAGCGAAACACCGTAAGGCAAAACGCTATAAAGCAGGGCCCTACTGTATAGGCTTTATCAGAAATCTTTAAACAGTGGGTTCGAGACTGATGAAATATATAAATGATGCTCTAAAAATCTTGCAGTATGCACTCATTGTATTAATGTTCATTATGTAGCAAGCCTAAGTTCTGTATGCATGTCCTGAACAGATTTAGCACTTCTTTTAACAGGATATTTTAGTGTATGGTATACATGTTAGAGAATACTTTATTTTTCCCAACTAGGTACATCATTTACTGTACAGTGGCATAATGTTCTGCTGAAGGATCATGTGGATGCTGGAACATTTACATTTCAGGTTAGTTGAAAGTTACACATTTGTTAACAGTTTCCTTATTTTGACTTTGTACATTCATGAAGCTCACACTGTACATTTGTGGTGCTTATGACTTGTTTGTTAGCATCCTCAGCTCTCTCACTGAAGGTCTGGGATCCATCCCAGGTACAGGTAAAACATTGGACATGTTTCCTTACATCTGCTGCCCCTGTTCACCTAGCAGTAAGTAGGTACCTGGATGTTAGTCAGCTGTTGTGAGTTGCATCCTGGGAAACAAAATTAAAGGACCCTAATGGAAATAAGATGGACCATTCCTGATGATTCTCTGACTTTATTGGGTTTGCCTGGGTGGCTAACCCTCTGGGTTAAAAATTTGAACAAAATCTTATGTTAATACAGGGTTTGCTCTCTTCACTGACCTAGAGGGATGGAAGGGGGAGGGAGAGAGATGTAATATTCTGGTTAAGCAGTCAGATGTTCTTTCTAATGTTATAGAGCAGCTAACTATGAACAGATTAATAGCATTCCTGAGTGCATTTGATCCATGAATAATTGAAAAAAAAAATTATCGGCAATTCCTTGGTTTAAAAAATACAAATTTTGAGATCAATTTTTGCCAAAATAAAATTAATAAATTCCAAAATTAAATTAATTTGATATAGCAATGCCTAAAATATGTATAGAGCATTATTACCTGTTTGTAAAATGCAGCATAGAAAAAAGTTCCTAACCTGTTTAGTACAAAAGCTTTGAACTTCCCACATATACACAAAATGTCAATGTACAGTACCAGAATTCCGTATATTTAATAAAGAAATAAGACAAATATTACTGTACAATTTGAGTTGTAAACTTCATACACAGTTCTTGACCATCTCTACCAAAATAACACAACTTCGCTACAGATACGCAAAGTGAGAATATCAATGTTTTAAATGTATTTCATAAAGAAATTAGTGAAAAAATTGACAATATATATCAGCATTTGAGTCTCATATTTAGCTCAGACATGCTGGATTTTACCATGTGGTGAATATAGAAATAAAGGAGTCACAAGTAAAGCTACTAAACATTTTTTTTTTCTTCCAACACTCAGGTGGCCATCTCCCACCAAGGCAGATTGACCCAAAAAAGAAAACATTTTCACTATCATTCACACAATCACTGTCTTTACAGAGGCATCCAGATATGACTGTTTGGATGTCACTCCAAACAGCAAATACTGAACATATCTTGTTGAAAAAAAAAAAATCTATCAAAAATAGAAGTAGAAGCAATAGATTAAATTTGGAGAAATTCAAATTGAAAAAGGATATAGGAAATCACTGGTTTGGCAATACGTATAACTTGTCACTGAGTGGAACAAACTGTCAAATTTGGATAGAGATGAGTGGGAAAGGATGAGCAAGAGTTTGATCTGCCTTGTATGGGACAGTAGGCCTACTGCAGTGTTCTAATAATTTTTTTATGTTTGTATATAGTTCAGGGAAACCGGCAGGCTGGACTTGAGTCCTCGAGATGGGAAATATAGTGCCTGCACTCGGAAGGAGGGGTGTTAATGTTGCAGTTTTATAACTGTAGTGTAAGCATGCCTCTGGCAAGACAGTGATGAAGTGAATTACGAAAGTTTTTCTTTTTCAGGATACCCTACCTTGGTGGGAAACGGCTGATGTCTTAATAATAATAAATAATAATATAGTAGAGGAATTAAAACACTTGCTTGGTAATACAGAAGTTGTGGATGAGTGGAATGTGTGAATGTAAGCAGGACCACCCTGGAGGAGGTTTCAGGGGTCAGTGTCCCTGCGAACAAGTCTGTGACCAGGCCTTGTGATGGATCAGGGCCTGATCTACCAGGCTGTTACTGCTGGCCACATATAAACTGACGTACAAGCCACAGCCTGGCTAACCAGGTACTGACTTGAGGTGTCTGTCCAGTGTCTTCTTGAAGATAGCCAGGGGGTCTATTGGTAATCCCCTTCTGTAGGTCTACTCTATAACAGTTTCTAACCTTCAAATAATGTTACCCATGAATAAGTTGACCCCCTACTTTTTGAATAAAAAATTGTATTTGTTACTAGGTTTAAATAACTTAAATTTATTTATAAATAAATATTTACTGTTATTTATGGAAGTTTGTGTCTTAGTAGATTTTGATATTTTTGTTTCTAGTGCATGCACAACCAGTTGCTTAACTGGAAATTTTTATGACTTCAAAAGTTTTCATCCTTTTTCTGCAACCAGCAATTGATTAGCAAAAAAAAAAAAAATTTTATTAACCTGAATCTGGTTAAGAGAAGGCTAGACTAGACTGTATTTAATTTTTCATTTTTTCTGTTCCCTATTACAGATGTGTAAATTACTTTTTCTTTGTTTACAGTGTAAATGTTTTTATTATATTAGGCAGTTCTTTTCTTTATTATGTGTTTTTTACTTTTGTTCATTGATACAGGCAACGTTACACAAGAATGGAGATATTGTATTTACATATAAACAAGTTCCAGTCATAGTAACTGCAATTACTGATGAGCAGCATCCAGTCAAGGTTGGGCTCTCAGATGCCTACATTGTGGACCGGAAAATATTCTGTAAGTTGAAAACTTTGTATATTCTGAAGAAATGATAGAAAAATCTTGTATTGTTTCACATAAACCTAAAATATAGGATTTAATCTGCCTCTAAAGGAGCATAAAGTGGAAAAAAGTATTCCACAGCAAAAATTATACAGGTTCATTGATAATATGTTATGCCTGAGTCATATGAGGTGTTTCAGACCTCAAAAATGGGTGGTATAACCCTGGCCTAAGGTAGGTTAATCAGATTTTCACTTAAAACATTTCATTAAAGTGTGTGTTTACTTGCTGTAGGGGCGGTGGCAGACGGCCGACTTGTTGAAAAAAAAAAAAAATATATATATACATATATATATATATATATATATATATATTCTCCATGGGAAGTGGAACAGAATTCTTCCTCCGTAAGCCATGCGTGTTGTAAGAGGCGACTAAAATGCCAGGAGCAAGGGGCTAGTAACCTCTTCTCCTGTATATATTACTAAATGTAAAAGGAGAAACTTTCGTTTTTCCTTTTGGGCCACCCCGCCTCGGTGGGATACGGCCGGTGTGTTGAAAGAAAGAAAGAATATATATATATATATATATATATATATAATATATATATATATATATATATATTTCAACAAGTCAGCCATCTTCCCCCCGAGGCAGGGTGACCCAAAAAAGAAAGAAAATCCCCAAAAAGAAAATACTTTCATCATCATTCAACACTTTCACCACACTCACATATTATCACTGCTTTTGCAGAGGTGCTCAGAATACAACAGCTTAGAAGCATATATGTATAAAGATACACAACATATCCCTCCAAACTGCCAATATCCCAAACCCCTCCTTTAAAGTGCAGGCATTGTACTTCCCATTTCCAGGACTCAAGTCTGACTATATGAAAATAACCGGTTTCCCAGAATCCCTTCACTAAATATTACCCTGCTCACACTCCAACAGATCGTCAGGTCCCAAGTATCATTCGTCTCCATTCACTCCTATCTAACACACTCATGCACGCTTGCTGGAAGTCCAAGCCCCTCTCCCACAAAACCTCCTTTACCCTCTCTTTCCAACCCTTTCGAGGATGACCCCTACCCCTCTTTCCTTCCCCTATAGATTTATATGCTTTCCATGTCAATCTACGTTGATCCATTCTCTCTAAATGACCAAACCACCTCAACAACCCCTCTTCTGCCCTCTGACTAATGCTTTTATTAACTCCACACCTTCTCCTAATTTCCACACTCCGAATTTTCTGCATAATATTTACACCACACATTACCCTTAGACAGGACATCTCCACTGCCTCCAACCGTCTCCTCGCTGCTGCATTTACCACCCAAGCTTCACATCCATATAAGAGTGTTGGTACTACTATTCTTTCATACATTCCCTTCTTTGCCTCCATGGATAACGTTTGTTGACTCCACATATACCTCAACGCACCACTCACCTTTTTTCCCTCATCAATTCTATGATTAACCTCATCCTTCATAAATCCATCCACCGACACTTCAACTCCCAAGTATCTGAAAACATTCACTTCTTCCATACTCCTCCTCCCCGATTTGATATCCAATTTTCTTTATCTAAATCATTTGATACCCTCATCACCTTACTCTTTTCTATGTTCACTTTCAACTTTCTACCTTTACACACATTCTCAAACTCATCCACTAACCTTCGCAATTTTTCTTTAGAATCTCCCATAAGCACAGTATCATCAGCAAAAAGTAACTGTGTCAATTCCCATTTCGAATTTGATTCCCCATAATTTAATCCCACCCCTCTCCCGAACACCCTAGCATTTACTTCTTTTACAACCCCATCTATAAATATATTAAACAACCATGGTGACATTACACATCCCTGTCTAAGACCTACTTTTACCGGGAAGTATTCTCCCTCTCTTCTACATACCCTAACCTGAGCCTCACTATCATAAAAGCTCTTTACAGCATTTAGTAACTTACCACCTATTCCATATACTTGCAACATCTGCCACATTGCTCCTCTATCCACTCTATCATATGCCTTTTCTAAATCTATAAATGCAATAAAAACTTCCCTACCTTTATCTAAATACTGTTCACATATATGCTTCAATGTAAACTTGATCTACACATCCCCTACCCACTCTGAAGCCTCCCTGCTCATCTGCAATTCTACATTCTGTCTTACCTCTAATTCTTTCAATTATAACCCTACCGTATACTTTTCCTGGTATACTCAGTAAACTTATTCTTCTATAATTTTTACAATGTCTTTTGTCCCCTTTCCCTTTATATAAAGGGACTATACATGCTCTCTGCCAATCCCTAGGTACCTTCCCCTCTTTCATACATTTATTAAACAAAAGTACCAACCACTCCAACACTATATCCCCCCCTGCTTTTAACATTTCTGTCATGATCCCATCAGTTCCAGCTGCTTTACCCCCTTTCATTCTAAGTAATGCCTCACGTACCTCCACCACACTTACATTCTGCTCTTCTTCACTCCTAAAAGATGGTATACCTCCCTGGCCAGTGCGTGAAATTACCGCCTCCCTTTCTTCCTCAACATTTAAAAGTTCCTCAAAATATTCTCGCCATCTACCTAATACCTCCCTCTCCCCATCTACTAACTCCCCTACTCTGTTTTTAACTGACAAATCCATACTTTCCCTAGGCTTTCTTAACTTGTTTAACTCACTCCAAAATTTTTTCTTGTTTTCATTAAAATTTCTTGACAGTGCCTCTCCCACTCTTCATCTGCTCTCCTTTTGCACTCTCTCACCACTCTCTTCACCTTTCTTTTACTCTCCTAATACTCTGCTCTTCTTATAACACTTCTGCTTTGTAAAAACCTCTCATAAGCTACCTTTTCTCTTTTATCACACCCTTTTACTTCATCATTCCACCAATCACTCCTCTTTCCTCCTGCCCCCACCCTCCTATAACCACAAACTTCTGCCCCACATTCTAATACTGCATTTTTAAAACTATTCCAACCCTCTTCAACCCCCCCACTATTCGTCTCTGCACTAGCCCACCTTTCTGCCAATAGTCGCTTATATCTCACCCGAACTTCCTCCTCCCTTAGTTTATACACTTTCACCTCCCTCTTACTTTTTGTTGCCACCTTCCTCTTTTCCCATCTACCTCTTACTCTATCTGTAGCTACAACTAAATAATGATCCGATATATCAGTTGCCCCTCTATAAACATGTACATCCTGGAGCCTACCCATCAACCTTTTATCCACCAATACATAATCTAACAAACTGCTTTCATTACGTGCTACATCATACCTTGTATATTTATTTATCCTCTTTTTCAAAATATATGTATTACTTATTACCAAATTTCTTTTTACACATAGCTCAATTAAAGGCTCCCCATTTACATTTACCCCTGGCACCCCAAATTTACCTACTACTCCCTCCATAAGATTTTTACCCACTTTAGCATTGAAATCCCCAACCACTATTACTCTCACACTTGATTCAAAACTCCCCACGCATTCACTCAACATTTCCCAGAATCTCTCTCTCTCTCCTCTACACTTCTCTCTTCTCCAGGTGCATACCACCTTACTATAACCCACTTTTCACATCCAATCTTTATTTTACTCCACATAATCCTTGAATTTATACATTTGTAGTCCCTCTTTTCCTGCCATAGCTTATCCTTCAACATTATTGCTACTCCTCCTTTAGCTCTAACTCTATTTGAAACCCCTGACCTAATCCCATTTATTCCTCTCCATTGAAACTCTCCCACCCCCTTCAGCTTTGTTTCACTTAAAGCCAGGACATCCAGTTTCTTCTCATTCATAACATCCACAATCATCTCTTTTCTTATCATTTGCACAACATCCACGCACATTCAGACTTCCCACTTCAACAATTTTCTTCTCCTTATCTTATTAGTAAACTTTACATGAAAAGGGGTTACTAGCCCCATTGTTCATGGCATTTTAGTTGACTTTTACAACACGCATGGCTTTTCGGAGGAAAGATCTTATTCCACTTCCCCATAGTTGGATAGGAAAGGAAAAAGTGATAAGACCAAGAACTATCAAGATAAAAATCAAGAAGAAAACTCAGATGAGTGTGTATAAATAAACGTGTACATGTATGTGTATTGTGACCTAAGTGTAAAGTAAAAGTAGCAAGATGTACCTGTAATCTTGCAATTTATGAGACAGACAAAAGACACCAGCAATCCTACCATCAGTAAACAAATACAGGCTTACGTTTTACACTCACTTGGGCATGAAGGTATACCTTCCCTGGTGGGTTGCTGTCTACCAACCTACACCTATAATATATAGTATATATATAGTATATATTTATTATTATTGTAGGTAGTAGTTGGTAGACAGCAACCACCCAGGGAAGTACTACCGTCCTCAGATTACGTGAAACAAAAACCGTAACTGTTTTGCATGATGTAGGATTGCTGGTTTCTTTTTCTGACTCATAAACACGCTAGTTAACAGGGATATCTTGCTACTCCTACTTACCTCTTTGGTCACACTTCACAGACACGCAACAATGCATATATATATAATAATACATCGAGGTTTTCCTCATCCCTTTTTCTAAATAGCTCTTGTTCCTTTTTTATTCTCTATTGTCCATGGGGAAGTGGAAAGAATCTTTCCCCTCCTAACCATGCTTGCGTATGAGCGACTAAAATCCGGAGCAATGGGCTAGTAACCCCTTCTCCTGTATACATTTACTAAAAAAGAGAGAAGAAAACTTTTTATAAAACTGGGGTGCTTAAATGTGCGGGAATGTATGCGATGACAATAACAGATGAATTGCCTTGATGTTATGAATGAAAAAGAAGTTGGATGTCCTGGCTCTAAGAAGCGAAACAAAGCTGAAGGGTGTAGGAGAGTTTCAGTGGGGGAAAATAAATGGATTAAATCTGGAGTATCTGAGAGAGTATAGCCAAAGGAAGGGGTAGCAGTAATGTTAAATGATCAAGTTTATGGAAGAGAAAAGAGAAATGAAAAGTGTAAATTCA